ATATATTTTTTTAATTATGGAAGTAATTTGAAGTAGTTATTACGGTAAGTACATTTTTGCATTCCATAAATGTTTTGTTTAATTAATTCAAAACACTCATCATCACTAAGCATAACTAATTCATGCCTAAAAACACCTTGTCTCCATCATTCATACTTAATTAAGCACCCGCAACAAATTTCTACCAGGTGATTTTATCAGGTGTTGCTTCTGTCAACTCCAGGTCATGTCTTTTGTATCTGTTACTGTGGGTTGCTATATGTTCTTTATCACCTGCGATTCAGCACCTGCTACTTCATTCTGTGCTTTAACAGAGAAGAGAGACCAATTAAGTTTCTCCTCTCTTTTGTTAAAAGATTGATGTATCGAATTCGGAAAACAGCGTTTGATTTCTTTTCATTTTTGTAACTAGCTTCAAACAAAGTTCAAAGCTAGCTTCAAAATCAAAACAGTTGAAAGTTTAAATCTTTCTTCATTAAATATTTGTTTGGCATTTGGATTTCCACCTTTATTCTTTTTAGTTTTTTAAACTAATAATGACGAACTACTATGAAATAGGTTGTATTTCAATTTATATAGTTTTAATTGTTATTGAAATCAATTTTTACTGTAATTTCTTTGTTAAAATACAATACAGGACCAAAGTTTTCCGAATATAAACTGAAAAGTACGCAGATTTTAAATTTTAATTGTTGATGTGTGATTAGCTTAGTAATCTTCTTATCCCATATGGAACATAAACTATAATTAATTTGATCTTTTGCTTTAAAAAATACCTTGTAAACCGTTACTGTTACAACTGTACCTTCATATTAACCAAAATAAAATAAATTTTAAAAACTAATTTGTTTTAAATGTGGCCAAAACGAAGAATTTTTTCATTTGTAAATGTAATTGGTTTAAAAGAATTAAGCATTTGAGCCTTTTTTGTCTTTCAAACTTTATATTTAACTTGTAGTTCTAAAATATTCTTTGATTAGTACTTTTTTTCTGACAAAAATAATCTCAAGAAAAACATTCATTTAGGAAGTTTTTTTTTAAAAGAATTTTCATAATTTCAGCATATTTGAGATTTAGTTCTAGGTTATACATTTTTTCATTAAATTCTTGTATTTTCCCACCTGCAGAACAGCTACGCGCAACCTTTTTAATTACACATTTTGAAGTAGATTTTCATAAATGAAAATATTTCAAGAAACATTGATCCCTAATTTTCGGGACAAAATATTAAAAACATTTGATTTTAAAGGAATTAAGGTAAATTAAATGCTATTTCGATTTTTCAATTAATTTTTACATGTTTTTAAGTATACTAGTTTCAAAGAAATTCCCTGTTTTTAATTCGTGAAATTTAAGTTCAAAATGTTAAAAACCAGTTATCTAAATTTTAAGAACCTACACAGATTGAAATGTTGGAGCATGCTCAAACATAATATAATTTAAATTTGATGCAACCCAATGTGGTACTAAATTGAACCACAATTATCGTACCCTTTATACATGATTTCATGAAAATATACTACAACTTGAACTGAAATGCCATTTTTAAATTTGCATAGTATTATGATCCAAAGTGCCTATGGATGTCACTGTTCAGCGATAAACTAATTTTTCATAATTCTAATTATCCTGCCATAATAATTCTAATTAATAATAATAACGTATATATAACCAGTAGATTTAAATAAGTTATTCCAAAAATTATCTAAGTAATGAGCTACGGTGATTCTTTGAAGCACTGAAAATTGTCTCATTTTTCAAATTATCTACATTATAAAAACTCCGGATCAAATTACGGTAAAATCATTGAATCACTCTAATAAAATTAGTTTTACTGTAAAATTTGCGGTACAATATTTTACGGTAAAATTGAATTTTACGGATGGTGCATTCAAAGTGCCGGTATTTTACATCGTAACTTGATCCGTAAATTTTCACAGTGTGTGTAATCTTCAAATTACAATGAAATTGTGCTCATTTTTCGTTAGACACTAAAATCTTTTTCTGGAAAAACAGCAACGTTTCTGTACGCTTACATTAACATGATATTACATTTTATTACTTAATCTAGTTCATAATACTATTAATTTTTTGATATCTGAAGTTAACACAAGCAAACTATGAAAAAAAAACTAGTCGATGGAAATAATATGCCGTTTAGCTATAAAATAAAATAATGCCCACATTATCTTGGTAAAATGCCGAAGGAACTTGAATCCGAGCTTAAACGGATTTAATGAACTTTAACGGATTGTTAATCTTCAGATTAGCTACTGTGCACATTAACGGTTTTCCAGCTTCACTTGTAATATATAAGTTGAACAGAAAAATTTTTTAAATTCTAAACGCATGTTCTGCTAAGACACAACACTGGTTGTAACACAAACTTATTTTAAAAATTCTTAGTTTTATAGTATCTTGTAAACTAAGAAAAAAATAATGACGGAAATTTATTTTTAGACATGCGAAACGCCTTTGAAATTTTTGCCATTTTTAACTGTCTTCAAAACTTTAAATGAAAAGTTTGAATGGTGCAGCACTTAAATGGCAGGCAGTGTCGTTCATTTTCCATTCACTGTACAATGACATTAACGTTTTCTTACCTTAGGGCCAAATGAATTTAAACTTCGGGACTTAACAATACCCCAAAGTAGACGCAGATATCTGATATCCTGATAATTTCGCAGCGGTAGGAACAATTACTAAGCGCTAGAAATATTTCCTTTTTGATAATAGCTACGTGACATATTGGAGGTTTTAGCGCCCGCCCTGTAGTTCTGTGAATGTCACAATTCATTATCGCAATCAGAAAGCCGCGGGAAAATTTAGCAAAATTTTCTCCTCCCTCGTTTTGGCAACGTCAGCGTTATCGTCTGCGTTCATGGACCGGCATTTCATTTGTTAGCAACCGAGTTTTCCAGAATGCCTGGCGGCTTCTATTACACCATTTATGGAAGTTTCAAGCCATCGAGGAGTGTTCTTTTGTGTTATGCTATAAAATGATCCGTCAGTTTCTTGGAGGGGGGGGGGAATTCGTAGAAGGGAAAAAAAATAATAACGAAAAGAGAAAGCTGGGGATTCTTTTCTCAGCATTCTCGACGAGTTTAATTATATTAATTAGAGCGAAAGTCTTCTTTTCTAAAGGACTTTTTGAACGGTAACTGTGGAAATCGAAACAAACCTAGGAGAAAATAACCATTTTCAAGTCACTAGGCAGCTAATTAACCTCATTGTCTTCATTAAGTAAACACATTTAAAAGTCGGATTTCAGGGATACATAGCATTTCTAATGATTCTTTTTAAAAACGAAAGAATCAACCCGGGGAATCTTTCGCTTTCTATTTAATCTCTTAAAATTTTTCGCATTGTTTTAGATTGGGAGTCCCTCTGCGAATTTTAATCGAGTATTGCGTTTTAGGCGAAGAAAATTAAATTGTCTCTTAACAATAACTTTGTAATTTTATCTTTACTCATACAGTGAGAATCTTCCAACATTTGAAAGTTTTCCAATTCAAGAATGAAAATTATTCTAAATGTTGAAGCTTTATTTTCGGGGATTGAAAATATTTCCTAAAGAAATATTTGTTATCCCCATTATTTTTTAACTGAAAGATATTGTTAATTTTTAACTATGAATTGTGGCAGTTTAAATTTTTTTAATTGTTCTATGTATTGGATATCCTAAAAAAATCGACAATTTGAAATACTAAATAGAAAAAATGAAAGGAGATAGAATTGCGTCGGTTTATACGTTCTATTTAGAAAGTGAGAACATTTATTTTGCATTACTTTCAATAATATTGACAAAGTTCGTCAATTGATGGAGCTAATAATTTATAAAAACTATTAAAAAAAAAAATTCTGCTGCATGACAGACTACACCATTGGTGTAAGCTAATTTTGTCATCAGGTTACGTCATGTTGCTGTTGCTGGCTAGTTGGATGCATTATTGGTTAGTTCGATGAAATATTATGTGGCTTTATATTATCAACTACACCGTCCATTAACAAACTTTATAACTAACTTGAAACAATTTTTTTTTTGTCGTATGCCTGTTTTAGACAATTGGAGTGCGATTGTTCCTGTTTTTCAGTGGCGCCATCTATGGCCAGGAATTCGACTTCTACCACGTCATTCACACAACCACAACCCGTTTATAGGGAGGGTCGCATTCACACACAAAGGAGAAAGGACATAGAACACACAGAGAGAGAAAGAAACATCTATACCTTGCCCGGGATTCGAACCAAGGACCTTTCCAATGCAAGGACAGTTCCCTGCCCCCTACGCAGGCCGGTCGGGTATTTTGAAACAATTGATGAGGATAAATCAATCTTGTTTCCGAAGCAGCAAACTGTACATTTCTACCTCCCACCGATTTTCTTTAATTGATTTTTTAAATGATTGGTCAATTTTGAAAAACTCGGTGGATATTTTTTCTTTGCAGAGATTAAAAACAAAGACAATTTCGAATGAGCATGGTTACAATCGAATTTAAATTAATAAATTAGCAAATATTTTAATAACTAGTTTAAGTTTCAGCAAAATATTTGCTCGCCCCTTAAAAAAAACGGTTCTCCATAGAAAAAAAATAACAATATTTTTTTTTACTGTTAAACACATCTTGTATCATTTGTCGTAGGTTCTGAAGACTTATTTTACACAATATGTATGCATTTGTTTTTAATAAAAATCATTTTGATCTTACCTTTTGTTGGGTTTATCATTTAAGAAATCAGAAAGGAGAGTATAAGCGATGCAACAATTTCTTTACTTAAGTTTATTTTCATTTATTATTTTCTTAGTCAGTATGAACATAACATATCCAAATAAATCTTTAAAGTATTTGCTTTAAATCAAATCGATATATATTTTAATTAGATACTAGTTTCTATGTGAATGTTATACAGTATAATTTTCACCACAAAATAGCTTTAAATATTTTTTTAGTGTCCCAGAACACAAAAATAATTTTTCATTTTTTTTTCTTTCATTTTAGGCATGAAAAAAAGCTCTACACTCACAATACAAATCTCTGAAATACCTACTTACCCTTGTTTGCATCATAAAACAGTTGCTGAAGCCGGTAAACCCTTGGATTTTTATGTTTTTGTAAGTTTATTTTTAATAATTTTTTATTCTTATAAGAGTCATTAGCTTTTTCAACCTTAATGCATGTACTACAACATAAAATATCATTTATTTATCTTGAAAATATAACTCCGCAGAAGAAAGCAACAATAGATTTATTTACCGTGTTATTAAAAAGAATTGCGGTGAAGACGAAAGTGTTAAAAACAGGTGTTACCGACGCATACAAAATAGTAGAATTTACGAGGAGACGTATTTTAAATGGCAAGAAAATTAAGGTCCCATTTACCGTAGTGCGTTTAACTATTTTTGAAGCTATATTATTTCACACTTATTTATTCACTTAATTTTTATCACAACACTCTGAATTCCCTTTATTTTTTCCGAATTCTGAAGTATCCCTGAATAAGGAGTAACAAGTGCAACTCCTTCTGAAGGAAAACAAAATTATTAGTACAAAAAAAGGTGATGAATCAAATGAATTAAAGCTGTTTTTCGAAGCTCTGTCGCCAAGGAAAATTAAAAAAGCCATAGTTTAAGTGTCTTACACTTGAAGCAATGCGATGAATTTAAACTATATATATAATCTTGCCGTGAAGAATTATCTGGGCTTTTGAACAAACAAATAACTGAAATATTTTAAAAAATATTAAACTTTTTAAAAATCGCCAAGTTGGCGTTATTTTTTCACCTAGATGATGATTATCAAAATCACTGCCTTATTCTCAGTTTTTATAAATTTTTGTGTTCCCAAGTAATGCAGCATTGAAGTAAGTTTTTAAAAATTAAAAAAAATGACCACAAATGCTTTTCATTTTCACAAAATTGTGGCTTTCCTCCATATTGACGTTTTGCACCATTTTTCATATAAACGTAGACAGCACTGGTTTTTGATAGACTGAACTTGACGTAACAGTAATGAGTAACAGTTGTAAACTCATAATATATGAGTTATGAAAATAGCATATTATTCTCAAAAAAAGCATCAATTCATATTTCAAAGGAGTCTTAGAAAAAGAGCCTTAAAGAAGAGATTTGAACCTTCGTGCTGCATAAAAAACAAGAGAAACCCTCTAATTGAGAGGTTCCCGAAATCTTTAAAAAGCGAAAAATAAATTATAGGATTCCTTCAATGCCAACTCCCTTTCCAAGTGCAGCCAAAAACAAAACAGGTCCGGATAACTATCAAATCTTAAAAATCTCTATCTCACGCATTAAAATTTCATCAATAATTAAAATCTCTTAGTTATGATTATGTACAAGATCATATCATTATACTGCTAAACAAATGCAGCTTAAGACTTGCGTTATGGCGTGTGTTATTGTGACACTTCCTGTTTGAAAGCTAAGCCAAAGGTTCAGACAACTATTGTAGTATTGTAGTACCGNTTTGATGATAAAATACTATGTCTTTGATGATAATATACTATGTCTTTGTGCTAAACATTGTGTTCATTGGCGAGCGAGCGCAGCGAGCCATGGTTCACGGCTTGAACCACATAGGATTGCGTAGCAATTCTTGGGGGTTGGCTAGCGTTAGCGAGCAGGGGGCGGAGCCTCCTAGTATATATAAATTTGTTGAAAATATGAATAAAATCTTTCGCAAACAAGCAGATTAAGAAATATGATAATATGACAGCATATTACATTACAATATAACAATCAACACAAAATAGACGCATCATATTTTAATATCTACTACTCATGAAATATTTGCATATTACAATCATTAAAACATAAAGTAGAGATAATTTTGACATATAGATGATGCATGTTCCTGAAAAGTTGCAAATAACTCAGACACAACGATACGTGTAACTGAAACAAAACAAAAGCTACGACAACTGCACGTATACATGTTAGAAACTATTAAGCATCAAATAAGTGCGAAGCATGGAATATAATTTCTATGAACCAGTTTTGTTTAAAAAAAATTATATTATAAATTAACTGCTTTACTGCATTGATACAATAGAAACTAAAGCCAAAAAAATAAAACTTAAAGGTATTGCAGTAACAGTTCCAGTAATTACAAAACACAGTGCCGCTGCCTAATCCCCGAAAGAAAAAGGAGAATAAATAAACAATCAGTAAAATGAAATGCTTCCCCAACATAATCTCCTTCTCAAAAGAGTAAATCTTTTCTAAAACTGTTTCAGTAATACTTAAAAGAAAACTTTTATTTGTTCAAATACTTAAAAAAAAAAGAGACGATTACACGTGTTTCTATGGCACACAATGCTTTCCTGCAGCTTATACACTACGGGGTCTTGCATTTCTTTCTTCCAGACCATTGCTTTATGAGTGGCACACGACAAAAAAGAACCTTTTTCCTTCTAAATATGTTCCTTCCGCCCTTCTTGTACCGTATTATGTCCTTTGCAGCAAAGCCGTATTTTCTGAAACCCTCTCTCTTTTTAGTTTGAAAGATAAAAATAAAAATAGGAGCAGATCAGTGTTTATTTTTATATTTTTCTCCCGGGCACGCACTTTAGCTATAAATATATAGTCAGATACATTCTCCACACTGCCCACCCCTTCTCCATCTTTTATAGTTTCTAATGCCTATTTCCTCCCTCGGATCTACGTCGTACTCGCGGCTTTATTGGGCGGAAGTGGGTGATTTGGTCGTGGAGCGCGGAAGAATATCTGTCAAGATGGCCGACTCGGCCTAACAATGGAGTACCGATATTTTCTTTCCCAGTTTCACAGCTGTATTTTTTAGGATGAGTTAAACATTAAATAAAAAAATATTGTCGTGGAAAGAGAAGATCCGAGAATCATATATATATATATATATATAGCCATCATGATCCTGTGTGAGTTACTTTTTCAGAAGATGATGTCAAGCAAAATTGTATTCCTCCATTCAAGTTTTGTTAAATTGCTAACATTGTTCCATTTTTTTCTTCTTCTTCCCATCCTGCTGTATTGGCAAGTTGATCTAAGGGGATAGATGACTCTTCCACCTACTCACTTTCCATGCATCCATTCTCAAGTTGTCGTTTTCTTCTTATGCTTCGGAATATGGCTGGTTGTTTAGGTTAAGAGTCAAAATGTATAAGTTTTTCGGTGACAATGGGTTTCTTAAATTCGGGAACCTTTCAGTCTTAAATTGAGTCTTCTTTCTTTATGGGAGCTATCCTAGCTTAAGTTTTTCGTCATTTTTTTCTTATGTATTCCTTTGAAACATTCACTTTAGTATGGCAGCTCTTCTGATTCGGGATTTCGGGGAATATTTGAAAATAGTTTCCCCATATATGCTTGTTTTGCCGCATCAAAAAGAATGATTAAACATTTGAACTGACATTGAACATTGAACTCAATGAAGCAAAATATTTGCATAGGATTTTAAACACACATTTTGAAAAAAAATGTTTAGATATTAAACCTGATCCTGAAAATATATTAATCCTTGCAGGCTCAAAAGTTTTCCATTCTTGTAGAAATATTTTGAAAGTTGGATTTTGTACATGAACAGGTGTTTCAATTTTATCCGAAATATATTCAGCTGGGTTTAAACTTGAATGATTCAGATAAGCAAAATCCTTTACTGAAAATACGAAAGATAAGTGGTATTACCACCTTGAAAAATTTCATTGTTGTAAGGAGATATGAAAATTTGAAAGTGATTTTTAAACAAATCGAACATTACTTTAATAGCTTCATGATATTTTCACTTTCAGGGGAGAACTATGAAAGTGTTATGATTATAAGAGCAGCTTACACAGTAATGGATCCATCAGCAGCTTGAAAAGTACGTTATCGAAAACAAGGCTGTGTGGGTTTCAGAAATTTTTGACACACTCGATTTGCCTCTCATCAGCCTTTACAAACCGGTTTCATGACTTAGCTGACAGGGTGACATGTGTCCAGCCATGTATGATCTTAACTTATTAAAAGTGATGATTATATACCAAACATTTAAATCAAACTGTAAATATTGATCAGGTGTTGAACTTGGATAACCTTTCGGCTCTTCCAGAAATGAAAAACTAACTAATTGAATTTTCAGAAACTATTGTATTGGAATCGCGTACTTTTTACGAACCAAAATCCAGATATAATTGATTGTTAAGCCATAGAACTCGATTAAGAATCGAATCTTCCAAATATTGTTCTGCTGGACTAACAATATCGATGAAAATTATTAATTAGCGTAACAAAAGCTATGAAACTGAAATGTTTTATTACCTGCGTCTAGAGCAAAAGCTAAAGTATTATTAACAATTAGCGTAATCGATAGATTTTTTTCAATTTAATTATTTATTGTTTCCAATAAACGCCTATGAGTGGGGATGTCCGTCCCAAATATTTACATTAGACTTTTAATTCCGAGCAGATGCTGGGCCAGTTATAGCAATTTATAAAGAAACTAACAAATTACCGAACAGCAATTTTCGAAAAATTTTATCATCGGATCACTGTTAAGGATCTGGAATCCCACTCTCAACCACTGAGCAACTCAAGTGTTAAACCATTCTTATAATTAATTTTATTCGAGTCTAAAAATGTCATATGATGTAGCATTCCAACTGATTTCTAATCAAATTCATTTGCGAAATTTGTAAAATTTGTAAAGTATTTTTGAACACCAGCGAATTAGTAACGTTCTTTCCGGAGCCGAAATTACTTTAATACTAACGTAAAATCAGATATCAAATCGCGCATCTCATCTCCTCGAGAATCACTTTGTCTACCATGGATGTAGCTCTCCGCAATGTGTTCCAATGAGACGATGGGGAGTTGATCAAGTCTCGGACATCTTTAGCAAGGACGTCTGCCCACTCATTTCCCTCAATGCCCACATGAGCAGAATTCTATTTACCGTTTTGAGTCAGAGAAAATGACCAGTCCCTCTCTTAGGACTTTAAAATAATGCAACAATTAAAATGAAAAAGCCTCATTGATTGCAATCAGTTCTCCAGAGAAATTCAGAGCTCTTGGGTCAGTGGGAATTTCCGCTTCTGTTTTTTCACCAGAAGAGTGCGCAATAAGATACCTGCACCATCTCTATTAAAATTGTTATAATAAGAACTATATATATATTGATTCCTTCTCTATTTTGCTGGGAAAATGAATTGATTGTGTCACTGTCCTTCTGTAATAGCACCTGATGGTGGTTTTCCTTTGAGCAAGGTTGTAGAATGTTTTAGAAAATCTTGATATTAACTGGCGGTTTAATAGGGGAGAAGGCTCTATAAGGCCATTTACAGAGGAATGTTCAAGAACGATACCTTTTTCTGATGTCTTGTCAAAGTACCAAAATTACAGAGTTGAAAACATGTGGAGTCTTTTTGCTCTCGGATAAATTTTGATGGGTGGTAGGGTTAAATAAAATGCTTCCCGTTTACTACCAAGCAGAAGTCCTTCTCAATTGGGTTTTTTTTATCAGCTTATCCACTTTTTAAGAAAACATCATATTTATCTGTTGCTCCACTTCAGTAAGTGACGAAATTTGAGAAACAATCTACATCAGTTTCTTGAAATATTTGCTAGGTGCCTCCTCTCCGTAGTTCTCTCTCTACGTAAACTCAAGAACACATTTCTCATTAACGTTCCTTTTTAGGATACCCATTTTTTTCTTTGAACTTTTTAAACACACTTTGTAGCTGCTGCTATGCAGCTATTATTTAAGTCGTAAAAACATCTAAACATATGAGGCCGAGAACAGGCTGGAGTAAAGCCTTAATGATATGATATGAGTATTCTTATGTCCGGTGCTGTGGGAGCAAATCAAAGGCTCCGTACCTAGGTCACTCCCTATAAATCTACCGAAATTTAGGTTTCTCTTTCATAACACGGATTTTCCTTTCACACTGTCTAACAATCATCATGCTAAAATCTTTGGTCAGTACTTAGCACTTGACTTGTACTAACAAACCGCCATTGGCAGAGGGCCTTCAACCACCTCGGAGGAATCTGTATGATTTCACACCGCTATTAATCAGACCTAAATGCAGCTAGAAAATGGTGCTTACAGTTGGACTAATTTGGGGAAAAGTAATTTTAGAAGAGCCTCGAATCTTGTGCCATTTTTCGATGAATAAAGTAGCAACAATGATAGAATGTAACATTTGGTAATAGGTAATTTTGAAACACTTTTCTGTTTGTGCCATGTTACAAGTAGCAGAAGGTCAAGATGGTAACGTTTGCATTAAATAATATTTTTTTCTGCATTATCTGATACAATTTACATGTTACATACAATGATTACTTTTAAATTTACTCAGTTGTTTATCTATGTTGTTAGTAACTGACAAGAAAAGTATCCTAGCACATTTTATTTTAAAATTCATTCTTAAAAAAATGTTAAAGTCATTAAATAATAAATTTGTAACTACATCGGGGAAAATAGAAATGAAATCAGTCTATCAGCGAATATTTTTATTTTAATTAAACGGAATACAAATATGTGCTAAAAGTTGAGGGAAATTTTAAGGATATAGTGAAACTACTTTATTTGCAGAAATTCGAAGTAGTTTATTTTTAAACGAGATTTAAATTTAGCTTCCAACCAGAAAACTATTTATTGTTTGAAAAATGATTTAGCATCCTTTAAAGATTATTAAAAAAACATTCCCTAAATTAACCACGTCATTTCTACAAAAAATTTAATTCTGTGAAGTGTGAACATTTAATAAGAAAAAAAATAGTTTTTGTTTTTGCTTTCAGACACAATAATAAAGACCGGTACTTTTTTTTTATTTCCTTTCCGAACTGTGTTTTTGCTAACACAAGATTAATTATCTCGATTTTTCCCTCCCCCTATGTGCAAAGAAAAACAGTTGAAAATTTTCCAAGAAAATGAAATAGTGGAGAGAGAGAGAAAGAAAAAGAAAAAGTCTTATCATAATAGGTCGTTATTTAAATGGCAGCCTAATGGCTTAAAGAACAGTGGAGCGCCGCAAAAGCCACTAAAATATTCATCAGGAAATGAAATAATTGTGTGGCTCCTTTTTGAATAGGCGTCGAGGGTATGTCAGCTGTTACCTTCAGATTATGTGGAGTAGTGAACATTTATTGGAGAGCCGCGAACACAGCCATGCTGATCGATGATGGACTGTGATAAATTACTCCTCTGCATCTTCTCACGTACTCTTTTCTTTACGAACGGGTCAGTTATTTTTGGAGATCTTCAATCGGACCTCTCTTCAGAGTGATTGACTCATGATGAAGAGGTTCTTCAGTGGAAGATTTTGGTGCGTTTCAAAATTTAGAGTAGTTATTATTCTCCTTGAAGATTAAAATGATTAATAAAGTTAGAACTTTGTATAATTCAATCAATAAGCATGTTTAAATATATTCGGAAAAACTAGACGCGGTTTAAAATGTAGACTTAAAGAATACATTAGACATGTCTGTTTTCAAGGATTTTATTTTATTTTATAACCGTCGTTAAACAGCCGACACAAATTTGACGTTTACGACTACTAATGTTCAACTCCGTAGACTTGTAATTTTGAACCAATCCAGAAGACAAGGAAACTCCTGGATCAGTACCAGAATGATTTGTTATGGAAACATGGAGGACTTTGAGACTCGATATGTTGGACGTGCATCAGTCGCCATTTTACTACATGGGAAGTCTTCGGTCGGCCAGGATCGAAGCCACTACCTCTTGTGTATGGGCCCAGTGCCCTACGAACCAGGCTATCCCTGCCCTAGTTCTCAAGGATTCGAAAAATCATCAATTGCTGCACATTGTTGGAATCTTAGTCATGAACTCAATTTCAGCAATGCCAAAATTATTTACCCCCTAGTCGCATCATCTCATCTTGATACCTTGGAATCTTTTTTTATTTATATGGATGCTAATTCCCTTGTTAACTACATTAGTTTCTCCCCACCTTAACCTGCAATTATTGAAAAATATGTAGTAATAATTTTTATTGAAAATATTAAATGAAGGTATTATGTATACAAAGATAACATTCCAGATTTTTTTCTTCTTTTCAGGGTCATCCATTTTCTAACAATTCTGCTAACGCAAGCTTGAAGCTCATTATATCCAGGAATGAACGATCTTACATTTTGTCCCCCTCAAGATTTAGAAATTTACGAAATTTTCCCCTGTCTTCAACCTATGGGTAATACATATTTTTTTTTCTTATAAAAGTCAAAGACTTAGATGTAAGTTCAAAAAAAGTAGATTATAGTATAAATAAGTAGTATAGTATAATAAAGTAGTAGTAGTATAAATATGCATGGAGTAAAGACTTAAAATTTATTCAAAGTGTCTGAATTGCTTTCAAAGTTTTCAAACATTTACTACAAGAAACAGGTAAATTAAGAAGAGAAAAAAAGTATCTTGCAATCAATTTATGTGACAAGCCATAAGTTTTTCACCCAGATCTTTTGGTTTTATTTTTCAAATTTTTGGGCAGTGTGTACTCTTTCAATCCTTCCTACCATTTTTTCACGAATAAGAATTTCGCTCTCTGATCGCGGCATGTGGTAGTAGCTGATGAAGGACATATGAAAAATACTGGTATACGATTTTAATTCATTGAAAGATTTCAAAAAAATGTGATAAAGATTTTCTTTGATTTATAGGTTTATTAATATTAGTTTCATTGATTGAAAAGTAATTAAACTAAGAAAGAACAAGAACTATAGAGAAAAGAATTCATGCTCTGTCCCATGAACTTGCTCCAAGAATCTATTTTTTTTAACCATTTTCCTTTTATAATCTTTTAAATACATCAGACTAATTCAAGAAACCTTGCAAACAGATTCCTGCATTGCAATGTTAAATTAATCATTTTACTTTTGATCACTTTTTTGAAAATCTTAAGAAATAGTTTATCACTAAACTATAAATATTTCTAATTTAAAAAGCGTATAAACAACAATATCTACTACGAATGTCGGTATTCGAATGTCGGTGTCAACAGTTCTTACAAGGAGATCCCAAACCGGAAAAGCAGATGTTACAGAAATTAATAGTCCTAAATCTATGAAAGCTGAAACATTTTCGAGGAATTTTTCTAAAAAGTGTGAAAATTTACATCAATTTGCTTTTAAATCAGCTTAATTTTCGTCACTACATTTATGAGTTCTATAAAATACTTTACAGTCTAATATGTAATATTAAATAAATAAAAAAAGAATATAAAATAGAATATAATCAAAATAGAATGCATTGTTTTGAGCAAATACTTTTACTTCATTTTCTCTTGAAATCTTAATAAGATTCTAATCTGGTTGCTTCCGGAAGACTTGAGAAAGAAGATTAAATCTGCCACATGACGCAAAGTTTAAGCTACTTTTTTTTGTAGCGAACTAAAAGTGCTATGCTACATAAAAAGCCGCCTTTTCTTCAGCTATTCTTTCAATAAAAGTGTCTGAAATTTTAACACCTATTATAAACCCAAATGGGGTAACTTATGAAAATAAAAATATAATGCTGAAAATATGCATTAATTATAAATCATCTTTAGAAACTAATTTTATATTTGAATCTCGTATATTTTTCAGAGCAATAAAACAGTGTTTAGAAAAAAATGTCTCAATCTATATTTAAATCAATTTGTTCTTAAACAACCAATAAACAATCAATAAAGAATATATCCCTAAAATATTCGTGTAACGTTTTAATTTGATGGCTGACAGTTCAAAGTTTTAAAACTGAAACACTACATTATAAAATAATGTGTATTCATTGTTAAAGTTGATTTTTAGCATTTTCGAATTATTTCCAAGTCTAGTAATTTTCCATCTTGATAATCAGAATTGTCCACCCAAATCATGCAATTTAACATCGTAGGACCTTTTTTTAAATGTTTCTAAGATTCGTATGTATTGAATAAGGAAGTGAAACGCTGTATTACAGGTTGTTAAAAATTTTAAATAAATTATGAACCTTTAAACGGAAAATCTTAAGAAATATATTTGGTACAGTCCATGAGAATAATACCTGTGTTTGTTTAACCTTAAAATTTACCAAAAGAACAAGCAAATCCTGATATTGTTAAATTCATAAAATGTAATAGACTACGATGTATCGGACATCTATTCCAATCTGATAATACAAATCCAATAAAAAAGCTCATTTTTACTAATCCCACGGGAAACAGAAAACGAGGAAGACCACCATGCAATTAAGTTCCTTGACTCAGTGGAAAAGGACTTTCACTTACAAGGGAAACTAGGGAAGTGTGACTCGCCAATTTTGAAATAAACTAGTGGGATGTATGCAGGTGACGAACCTCCTAATGTTNCGTTTTCTTACCAAAGATTCGCATCACCCTTTATTAGTTATTTTTATGTCCAACATTGGACTACTTGTAAAGCACAGTTACCAGTAGATAACCGAAGTCAAGCATGGCTGGCGTTGGTCTTTGAGCTGATGTGTGACCACTTTGATTTGGCTGAGAAGAGACCAGGAGTGCACGATATCGGTCTTCGTTAAACTGCTCTATTTAATTTTTTTACTTTATTTTTATAACCGTCATCAAACAACTGACCCGATTTTGGGTTTACGACTACTAATGTTCAACTTCGTAGCCTTGTAATTTTGAGCCAATCCAGAAGACAAGGAAACTCCTGGATCAGTACCCCAGTGGTATGATTTATTATGGGAACATGGTGCCATCCCCTCTGCAGAGGATCAAAATTGTGATGGCATGTCTTCGGATTATCTTCAGGGATGTTTCCCAGACCGTCCCCAATAGCCCATTGCGTAGTTCAAGTGCGACGTAAATTAACAACAACAACAACATTAGCAATAACTTCTTGTGGGAATGTCGGGACACAAATAAAAGGTGCAGTTCCTCGCTTTAAGCTCTCGATGTATTTTATGTCTAAAACTCTTAATAAGTCCCTAATATTACCTGTCTTTAAAAAGACCTATCGCGAAAAACAAATATCAGCACCATTTTTTTTTTCTTCGATTTAAAGTGCCATGTTGTATACCTCCATTTTCCTAGCTGATCTTACAACGAAGCTGGCAAAGAATTTTAACAGCGATGGCGAACCCAGGTGGGATAACAGATAAATGGAAATAAAACCTGGTAATGTGGGAGTGCGTGAACGCATCAATACTAAATCCCAACTTCAACTAATTACTTAAAGCATCTCCCCCATGGACTTAGTAATAAGAGAGCCTGTACAGTTAATGACTTCCTAAGTCTATTAACAGGATAATGCGTTCTTCAGTGCCTTCAGTTAGTGGTTCATTTTTTTTCTTCCTGAGCCTTATCCAATAGTTGTCTAAGAGTTAATCAGGCTGTAGCCGCACACTCATTAAGGGAATTAAATTCGAATACTAAGGTAAATGCTGAAAGTATGTCGGCGATTGACGAGAAAATGTAAGAATGTTTACTTTCTAATGTCCTGTGTTTAAAAGGATTAGGACAGGGATATATTTTATTTTGTCCCTAAATTGTATTATTTTTAGTTGTTTTCGTTGCAGTTTACTTGGTTCTTTAAGTAGGCAATTAGCGTACTAATGTATTCTTATTTTACATTATTTGGAGAGAAAAAATATTCAATTTAAAATGTAACTAATTAAATTATTTTTGTAATAGTTCAACCAGTAGAAAGCTAAGAGAGCTTTTCAATCAGTTAAAAGCATGTATTAGAACAAAATTCACTAATGTATTTCATTCTATACACTGTTAAAAATTTAGGAATGAGCTGAACCATATGATTTAAACGAGCTGAAATTAATCCAATGCAGTGCCACATTATAGAGAAAAATAAAATGTTTTTGAGCTTGTTTACTAGATATTATGATTCCACTCAGATAAAAATATGATTCAATATAATAACTTATTAATGATTCTGTGACCTTACACAATATTATATGATCTAAGATACCAATATTATGGTCCAACTTTGAACAGATTTTTCGTAGAGTTTAGTCTAAATGATAACACAGAAATAAGATTTAAAAATATTTCTTTTGTAAATGTTTTTTATCTAATTTTTATTATACTTGACACAATTATTTCAAATATTAAAACAGTGCTTTCTGATATGCCTATTTTAACAAAGCTACTAAATAAAATAAAAGAATAATGCCTCTTATTCAGTGGCTGCACTAAATATCAAAAATATCACGAATAAACTATTGTACATCTATAGAGTAAACTAACGAATAACTATGGAGCAAACTATAGAACAACGATTAAATTAACTATGGAGCATTTGAAGAGTAACCTACTGTACTATACAGAAAATTTTGAAAAATCATATTTTCAAATCAGAAATTATTTGAAAAATCATATTAAAGGAAAGTGGAAAGAGATGGAAATGTACAGTTTGTTGAGTTTTGCAAGCAGCTCCATCTGTTGAGATCCTTTAAAATTAACTTTGAAGCTTGTTGAGAAGAAATATCTAAGCATAACATAGCTAATTGCACACTTTTATTTTCGTTTTTGTTTCTTTTAAATTTATTTTCAAACTTTTGGTTTATTTTTGGGATATCTGATGAAACCATCTTATTTATGCTAAAGAGTTATTAAAAAGAAATGTTTAAATTTGCTTTTAAGCTAAAATATAAATAACTCTGAGACACCAGCATAAACGGAGTCAACTTGAACAAATCTCAACTCAAAAAAAAAAAAGAAAAAAAGCTTCACTNAAAAAAAAAAAAAAAAAAAAAAAAATGGCGTCACTGATTACATTTTACAATGAATTCGTGTTTTATATTTTACACTATTTGAGTGCCTTAAGAATTTGAGAATGAAAATTTTATATTCAAAATAAAAATACTTAAAAATGCGTATCATTTCAATTTTAAATTTACTTAGAAATAAAACCTTTATTTGAATTTAAAAATTAAACTGAAAATATTGAATTTTTTTCTGAAATAGAATCTGAATATATTATTAAATTTATGTAACTAGTATATAGTAAAAATTTTAACGATTTTATTTAATTCTGTAACAGTCAATTAATATACGGTCAATTTAACTTGTCATCTGCAAGAAGTTTTAACTTTGAGCCCTGCTCTGAAGATTATCGAACTTTTTAGGAACTTAATGAACTTTTTTAATTCTGAATAATAAAATATATTTGCTAGTTTGAGGTTTCGAAATTATATAGTTATTAAACATAATTTGTTATGTTTCACGCTTTTTGT